CTATGGAAAGCAGGCAGAAAGCCCTTGAAACCAATCACCACACGGTATGCAGTTGAAGAGGTTTTTATGTTATATGTTTTGTGTGTTTGTGTTTGTTTGAAAATAAAAAATTTATTAAAAAAATACAGTAACTGTATTCTCAAGAAGTGTCTGAAGTCTGGGCTGATGGCATTGGAATCAAAGTCAATCAGAGCCTACAGTCAGTCATACTAGATCAGTAATATCTAACCTTTTCTGGACCGAGTGCCCAAAGTGCGTGTGTGCAGGTGCAAATGCACGTGTGGCAAACCCCCAAAATGCAATGCGCGTGCGCCCCTGCATCACCCCACCCCCGTGCACGCGCACATCGCCCCCTGCACATGCACAGCAGAAACATGTAAACCAGCTGGCCGGTGGGAGATGTGCATGCATGCACCATGGAACTGAGCTGGGGTGATGGCTCGTGTGCCCACAGAGAAGGCGCTGCGTGCCACCTCTGGCACACGTGCCAGAGGTTCGCCATCACGGTACTAGATGAAACCCATCCAATCAGCAGCTAACCCAGCTAAAGAGAGAAAGAGACAGTACAACTCAAGAAAAGTAGAAGAAAAACAGACAACCGGGAAAGGGAAGCAGCAACACCAAGACATGCAAGGCCTGAAGAAGCTGTCTTACAGTAGCAATGGGAATTTAAAGAGAAATTGTTGTATTACAGGAAAGTGCCAAACCAGGCCAGGTCAATCCAGAGGGGATTAGATTGGCCAATTTCCCCAGAGGTCAAAACAGTTCACATAAAGCCACAGTCAGAGAGTAACAGCTAGAAATGAAGCAAGAGTCAACACTACACTTTCATGGTGATCTCAAGCAGCACCAGAGCAGTTCCAATGGTCAAGTTCAGCTGAAGCAGGTGACGACCATGGAGACTTCTACAGCATTTATTTCTGCACGAAGCCTGGGGTCACCATGAGTGAGTTGGGCAGCCATACAAATTTTCTCAATAAATAAGGTGCCAAAGGAAAAGTAGTTGGTTGTATGTAGGATTGGGACTAGGATGGATGGATGCATGCATGCATGCATGGACGGACAAACAGAAAGACAGCCTGAAGCTAGTAAAGAAGGCAGGTAGGGCTTATGAAGAAAAGTCAAATAGAAGTTAGAGTGGAGATCAAGAAAACAGAATAGAGCTTGGAAGATTAAAGTAGCTTTCATAAATTTAAAAAAAAAGTCAGGTAGAGACAATGGCTGTAAATTAGAGAGCAGCCTTTCTGTTTTTGTAATGAAAAATAACATTTTTTAATAATAAAACCTATTCCAAGAAAATACACATCTTGTTTAAAACCTGTACCAAACCTGAATTGTGACATAAAAGGACTAGAGAAAAAGGGCGAAACAACTGAATAACAGAATAATAAGAGTTGGAAGGGACCATGGAGGTCTTCTAATCCAACAAAATAAGGTAGACTCCCTGAACGATATCAACAGTTTAACGGACATTTCCAAAAAATTGGCCACCTCCAAATGGTTTGTTAAATTGGGATTAGATGATTGCTGCATTCCAGACACTTCCACCTCCACTTACAAATTCCCATCAATTTCCAAGTTCTGGAAGTTGGCATTCAACAGTCTAGGGACCAGCCGAGTAGGAAAAGCTGGTAGACATCTTGCAGGAAGAGCCTAGGTCAGACCAAAAATTGCCTTTCCCCCCCACTTTGTGTCTATTTGAGAATACTGGTTTAGAAATTTAATTAACGAATTAACACATTTGTGGGGCCGGGATTTTCTGGGCCAAGTTTTCAAATTATTGCAGAAGAAAATGAATGCAGTGCTGCGATAATAACCTAAATCACAAAAAGCCGCTTACCAGACATTGCAGTGAGATCAGCACTTTGGCTGAATACTTCTGTAATTCCAACCCCTTTCAAAGCATCCTTCAGATCAATTTCCTGTTCTATTGTGAACCTAGACGGAGAGAGAGAGAGAGAGAAAAGAATGAAAGTCTTAACTCCCTTTGCTCTAGGAAAGAAGTGAAGATGCAAATTGTTGCTGGAAAAACAGGGGGAAAGGAAAGAATATAATATAATAACTGCCTACAAGGCATTCAGGTAGCTCAGCAGGAGAAAACACATTACAAAGAGAGAAAGAGAGAGACTCGGAGAGACAATGCATTGAACTGACATTCATCACTAGCTTATTCCTGGTTATTGTCTTGTTTGCAGTAATACCCTGAGACTAATTGTTTTGCAGTCATACAACATCACCCTTGCAAAGGACTTTGAGTCAATAGAAATGTGGGCAAGGGAGCCTGTGTATACAAAGCAAAACGAAATACAGTCAGTTTTAAATAGCATCACGAACCTTGCACTATAACAGAACATGGGGAAAAATACAACAAAGCAGTTACAAGCAGAGCAACGAAACAGAAAAGATAAATAAACAAGAGCTTTGTTTTTAAAAACTGCATTCCTTTTGTATGCAGCAAATAGCCACACTTGGCACAATCTCTTACTGTTTTCAACTCCCTAACCTGGATGGAGGGAGGAAGGGAGGGAGGGANGTCTTCTCCAGCACCATAGTTCAAAGGCCTCAATTCTTTGGCACTCAGCCTTTCTTATAGTCCAACTTTCACAGCCATACATTGCAACTGGGAAAACAAGGTAGGCACAGAGAACTAGGTATGTCTAGTCTAATGAAGAAAAGGACTAGGGATGACATGATAGCAGTTTTCCAGTACTTGAGGGGTTCTCACAGAGATGAAGGGGTTGACCTATTCTGCAAAGCACCTGAGGGCAAAACAAGAAGAAATGGGTGGGAGATCATTCATGAGAGATCCAAGCTAGAACTAAGAACAGATTTCCTGACAGTGAAAAACAATTAAACAGTGTAATGACTTGTCTCCAGAAGTTATAGGTGCTCCATCACTGGAGGTTTTCAAGAAGAGATTGGACAACTGTTTGTCTGGAATGGTGCAAGATTTCCTGCTGAAACAGAGTGGTTGAGAAGGTCCCTTCCAAGCTTGTTGTTCTATGTTTAATGGTAGTCCTCCTGGCACTCATTCTATAACCCTATGTCAGGGTTCCAACCAATGCCTTATTAAATTCAGGAGTCTCAAGTCATTTTGCAAAAAAAAATCCAGTTGTTTATTAGGAGCACTATGTCAACACAATCTAGGTGAAACCAGTTCTGACTTCACCCAGTTTGTGCCTTGCCTCTGATTCTGTTGCCCCAAGGTGTGCCACCAGTCACATTCATCAACAAAGCAATTTTGTGGGTCCTAGAAGTCACTCCCTTTGGCAGTTGTGGGTCTCTGTGGAAATGGCCTTGACTTTGGCCAGCTAGGATGTGTTTTATTTTGACTGAAGTGTGAATTCCTCGATGCAGCTGTGAAGCGCGATTTCCCATTCCCCCCTGCCCATGGCAACTCAGGAGCAGGTCAGGAAAGCTTTGCAAGTTGACAGTGTGAGGGTGGAGTTTTTGGTGAGGTACTTTTATTATGGTTTGTCCTATAGCTAGCCAGATGTTCAGACTGGATTTGGCATTTTTTCCCATGTACCTTAACACCTTTGTCACAGTGACTGACTCAGGAAATTAGCGCAACACAAAAGTTTAAAAAAAGGTGAATGAGAAGATACTTCTATCCCTGTCCTCTATTAACATAGATAGTGTTGACACCAGCAAAGAATGGAATATCCTTCCCACAGCTGTAAAAATCAAAACAGCCGCCTTGCATGTTTTTCTAGCAAATGTTCAATCACTGGATTGCATTTTTTTCAAGTGAATTTTTGGGATACAAATAAGAGAGGCAAGACAATAAATAAATACAATTTGGGAAGCAGAAAGATATTCCCTTAGATTTTTCTTCTTCACCCACCCACTCACCCCCACCTCAACCTTCCTTCTCTACTTTTTGTAGCACGGAGCAGGTGATATTTCTGCAGGCATTGCAATGGGGGAGAAACAGATTATTTATCGTGTTTTTTTCAGCCTGTTAGAAGTTTCTACTACAGTTTGTAGCAGTGCTTTTCAATCCTGATAACTTTGGATTTCAACTCTAAGAATTTGTCGAATGCTTTTGTGCCTTGTATGATTCGTGCATTTTAAGCTTGCTACAGCATACAGAATGCAAGCCACTCACAAGTTATATGGATTTAGTATACAATCCTCGGCAAATAAATAATTGCATGCTAATTTGTTATATTTTGTTATAACAAACAAGAGAGGGTCATCAAAAAGGGGGTTTTGTATATTAGATATGTTTGCCCACACCTTGCCTTAGGCTATAGATCTACAAAAAGCCATTTCCACATTGTTTGTCTTCTGAAACTGTGCTGCAAACCTTTTGAGCTAAAGAACAGAAGAAAAAGGTATCCTCTATGCCTTGCATCTGTCCCTAAAATATGTCAAAATTGTTTGTCCTTGGTGGTCCTTTTAATGTAGCAGAAGAAAGATGGTGATAAAATACATGAGCAATGTACTGATTCTCGCTTTAACAGAATTTAATTTTTGTTCTGGTCCATTTTGACTCCGCTCATCTGTCTCTCAATTGGCAAAATACACTCCTTGGTCCAAAAATGTTGCCTAAGCTTGCTTTCAACCATTAACATTCCGGGGTGGGCTTCAAAAATTTTAGCAAGGGGTTCTTTGCCCGGTTGATGGGTGGGCATGGCCATGGTGGGTGTGGCCTAGTCGGCCTCTTGCACCATGGCAGGGGGGAGTTTTCGCCATTTCCAGGCTCTGAGTCCTCATTTCACTCACCTCGGAAGGATGGAAGGCTGAGTCAACCTTGAGCCGGTGAGATTNCCTATGAAGCGGTATATAAGTCTACTGCTATTGGTGACATCATCAGGGCTAGAAGAGAGTAGGAGTTTGTGGAGAGGAAGAGGAGGAGCAGGAAGACTGTGAGGTCCTTAGTGCTCTTTGAGTTTGGAGGTTTTCTTGCAGACGTTTCATTACCCAACTAGGCAACTTCATCAGTGCTAGAGTGTTTCTGGTGGTTCTTGGAATTGGGCTGTGTTTACACTTTACAACAAGAGCAAGCCACTTGTATATATTTTTTTCAGTTGCATTCCACTGAGAATATCTTCCCCCTTTTTTCCTTCCCTCTCAGCTTCCTTTATGACTTCTACCACTACTTCTACATGCTGACCAACATCCTCTTCTACGTCAGCTCAGCGATCAATCCGGTCCTCTACAACTTGGTCTCCACCAACTTCCGCCAGATCTTCTTCTCCACCTTCATTTCCATATGCCTGCCATGGAGAAAGAAGAAGAAGAGAACCAAGTTCAACAGAAAATCCAACAGCATCTCTAGTAACCATACTTTTTCTAGCCAGGTCACCAGAGAAACTACTTACTGAGACATCGGGATGCCCGAGAAGAAAAGGAAGGAAGGGGGGAAAAAGGTTCCAGCAAGACAGGAAACAGAACTTGTGAAAGGGGGTCTGTCCTGCTTTCAGACACGACTTCCAACCTCACCGCCGCATGAACATGTTTAGCTGACTGCTGTCCATTGGAATGAATACATGTCCATGGTTAACATTGAGGTGATGTTCCTGCCTTTGCCTCCGGCTTTTTTGTGAGTTGTGTCTCCATGTGTTGTCATCTTGATCCAGCATAGAAGTTGCCTGTTGATGTTCTCCAGGAAGCTTTCTCATCTATGGCCTCAATGTTGATGGCCAAGCTTCAATGCCTTTGGACAAGCACCAGGGAAATTCAGGAGATTCAGGCCCCTTCCAATGAGTATAAATATTTATTGCGATCTTCAGCAGTCCAGAAGAATCTGGCGAACTGGCCGTTAAGGGAAATGAGCGGGAGATAAGAAGGCATTCAAGGCGGGCTGGACTTCATTCTCTTGCAGACGCACAGGGATTCGTGACTTATGACACGCTTGACCCCTCCCTCGGGCTCAGCCTGGTCATCTCCTACACCTCTCTTAACCGTACTCATTCCGTTTCTCTGTTTAGAAGTGCCATCAGCAAGGAGATTGAGATCATTTAACCCGGTTATCTTGAAAATGTAGGGAGGAGGCAAAGAATGAGCAGGATTTCATTTTTGCAGCAAAAGGCAGGGTTGTGGTTTATATACACAGGTAGTCCTCGACTTACGGCCACAATTAAGTGAATTTTGCCCTATTTTATTACCTATCTTGTCACCGTTGTTCAGGGAATCACTGCAGTTGTTCAATTCATGACTCAGTTGTTAAATGAATCTGATTTCCCCTTTTTGACTTTTGCTTGTCAGTAAGTGAACTCACGGCCCCGTGACACTGCAACCATCAGAAATACAAGCCAGTTGCCAAACGCCTGAATTTTAATCACCTGACCCTGGGGGTGGTGCAACAGTCGTAAGTGTGAAAAACAGCCATAAGTCACTTTTTTCCAGCGCCGTTGTAACTTTGAATGGTCCTTAAAGGAATTGTTATAATTCGAGAACTACCTGTGTTTATTTATTTATTTTTCTCAGCGTGCAGGAAAGGCTCCGTACCACAAGTCTTTACGGGAACGGGGAACGTACACTTTAGTAAAGAGCACGCAGTACTCAGAGAATGACGTTGTGTTTTTGGAAATCAGGCTGCATTCAAACTTCACATCCTGTGTAGGGAATTAAGTTTGGATCTCCTTCGCCTCCTCAATTTTTTTTTCCAGAAAGAGAAATGCTTTGATAAAGCTAATAATGTCCTCAAGGATCTAACTTGGAAGAACAACAGTTGGATTTACTGCTTCCCCAAAAATAAGACCGAAACGGAAAATAAACCTTAGCAAACCTTTTCAGGATGCTGGTAATATAAGCCCTACCCCAAAAAATAAACCCCAGTTAAGATTGTCAGCCATACCGACGCAGTTAGTACCGTATTTCCCCCAAAGTAAGACCTAACCAGAAAATAAGCCTCAATGCATCTTTTGGAGCAAAAATAATAATATAAGACCTGGTCTTCTTTTCAGGAAAACACGGGTACCTTCTTTCTTGGTAGCCCTCGACTTACGATCACAGTTGAGCCCAAAATTTCCATCGCTAAATGAGACATTTCTTAAGTGAGTTTTTCCCCATTTTTACCACCTTTCTTGCCACAGTTGCTAAGTGAATCACTGCAGCTCTTAGGCTAGTAAAAAGGGTTGTGAAGGTGGCTTTGCTTGTCAGAAGATCACAAAGAAGGATCACATNTCTACCGAACCGATTAGAAGAGGTTCCACCAGTGGACCCGGAAAGCAGGCCACACCTACAGAAGAGGTTCCAAAAATTTTTGAAACCCACCACTGTTAAGAAGGTTCTATAGCTAAGGGGATCTTCCCATCTTAGTTCAAAATTTGCATCAGTACATGTCAGAGTTTGTTGCAGAAATCAAATCCAGGAAGCACACACAGGTGACTGATTCAGCAGGATTCATTAACTTCTTTTTATATATAATATAATACATAAGTAAATATACAATACTGACAGCTGGTTCACAGACAGAGGAGAGAAGAGTGTTGTTTCAGTTCGGAGAGCAGACCAGACAAACCTAGTTTCAGTTTCAATTCTCAGCACAGCACTCAGCACTCAGAGCTTCAGGGCTAAAACACGTCCAGGCTCCAAGTTGTTTCAACTCCCATTGATCTTGTTACTAAGCCCTATTCATTGGCTGACCTTGTTACCATGTCTCTGCCAGTCATGAATATTCTGACAGTACATTGTACTAGCTGTTGGACCAATAAAGAGAATATAGAACATAGAATAATAGGATTGGAAGGGACGTTGGATGTCTTCTAGTCCAATCCCTAGACCCTATACTATTTCAGACAAATGGCTGTCCAGTTTATTTTGGAAAATCTAAAACAATGATGGCAAACCTTTTCAGCACCGAGTGCCCAAACCAGAACACATGTGCATGCATGTGTCTGTGCCGGAGCACCGGAAATCCAAAGCTGGCTGGTGTGCGCATGCCTGGTTTTTTTTTGCCACTTTTGGGGCTGTTTTCAGGCTGTTTTTCGAGCTGTTTTCCAGCTGGTTTGGGGGCTAAAAAAAAGCTCGAGAAACAGCCTGAAAAATCCCTGAAAAATAGTCCGGAAAATGGCCTGAAAACAGCCAAAAAAATAGGCCATTTCCCAGGCCATTTTTCAGGAGATATTCATGCCTTTTTCGTGCTGTTTGTGACCCCAAAACAGCCGAGGTGGCGCAGTGGTTAAATGCAGCACTGCAGGCTACCAGTTCTGCAGTTCGGCTGTTCAAATCTCACCGGCTCANCTGAGCCGGTGAGATTTGAACCGCTGAACTGCTGATCTAGCAGTAGCCTGCAGTGCTGCATTTAACCACTGCGCCACCTCGGCTCTTATTGTTATGGGGCCAGGGCCATCAATTATCAGCTACCTTCAGAGTCGGAGATCAGTGGGGCAGAAGAATATCTGGAGCCTGTTCCTGATGTCCTCATGTGCAGAGCTGCCAGGAGAAGGGAACAGCTAAGGAACAAGGGTCGACTCAGGAGCAAAGGCACAGGTGGTCAGTGAATGGCCCCTCCCATAGGGAATAAAGAGGAGCGAAAGGGGAGTGGAGTTTGCAGGAGACAATTTGTTCGTTTTATTAGTGTGAAGCTTTGTTGGTGACTCTCTGAGACTCCTTGCCAAGTATTTTCTTGTACAGCCTTGCGTTTGGAAGATATCTGCCTGGCAGCTCTCCAAGCCTGATAAGGTCTGTGGTTGTAAATTCACCCTTGAAAGACTGTTTGCCGGGACTTTGCTGGATGTGAATGAGAGGAAATCACAGTAGCTTAATAAAAAAGGGGGGGTTGTGTTGGGACAAGGAATCTGCTTCGTGATTTGGTGAAGCCTACGTCAGAACACTACCAGAAAAACAGTCATCAATATGAGCCAGTTGCGAGGTATCTGTTCACATAACCATGGAGATTCTGCAACGGTTCTAAGTGTGAAAAACAGTCATCGGACACTTTTTCCCAGTGCTGGACAGTCACTAAATGAACTGTTGCAAGTCAAGGACTACCTGTGTAGGTTTCATTTTTCTGCACCAGGGCTCCGTTTCTTGATCGAAGCTCCCCGAGAGGATATGTAATATACGATGCCTAAGATAGGAATTTCATAGGGGAAGAGAGCTTTGGATGTTTGCTAGACTAGAGAGATAAAGAATAAATGGAATGAGTTAATTGCTTAATTAAGGAACAAGCATCCAGATGTCTGCTAGAAAGAAAATTTTGCTCCCGGAGTATGAACACTAACTTAGAGGAGAGGGATCTAGTTAACGTTAATTAATGATCATTGCTTCTGCTACAACTGATATCACAGCAAGCACGGGGCAGGGGGATAATATTCTGGATCCTCCATAGAATGGAGGGTTCTATTTAAGATCTAAGCCACCAAATCAAATAAAAAAACTCCACGGAAAACAAAGTTGTTGTTGTTGTTGTTGTTGTTGTTGTTGTTGTTATCATCTTCATCATCATCACCATTATCATCATTATCATTACTATTACTGGTTAATCTTTGATGAGATTCACAGCCTTTGGGGCTGGTTGGTAGCTCAACAGCTCGAGTCCTAACCAAGGACCC